TCTTTCTTTCTTTCTTTCTTTCTTATCTTTAAATCTTCCTCCCTTCTTATGTTATGTAGCTGTACAGTACCTATGCATATCCTTTTGTTGTTACTTGATAATTATTTACTGCATTAGAACTAGATTTGCACTTTTTGAGAATGAATTTGAATAAAGACAAGAGCCGGAGCACATGGATGTGACATTTACTGTTGTTTGCCCAGACCGTCAAATCCACCTCTGATGCAGATTTTGTCTGGTGATAAAAGAACATGTGCAGGTCTGTGCTGTATGTGGCATAACACAAAATAAAATAATACAATGAAACAGCTGACATGTGAAAGTTCTGGGTATTTGGAAACTTTTGATGAGACTGAATGTGTGAAGGAGGGATTGAGATGAGTTTGTGGGTTGATATTTCCGTCTTATGATTGTAAATGCAAACAGCAGTTTAATATTATCTACATGCTTAATGTTAGCTCTGACTTGTCTTTCAAATTATTACATAAAAGCTTTATCGCTGTCCTGGAAAGCTGTTTTATACACCTTAGGCTACAGTAACTAATATATATATAAATATACAAATATATATATATATATATATATATTAGAGGCATATTTTAAAAGAAAACTCTTTCCAGTTCCATTAACTTTGTGTTTTAATGTGTTATTATTATTAAAGTTGTCATAATGTTTGTGTTTTTCAGCAAATGTTTTTAGCTATGTTTAATCAGAGGAACCTCTTACGCTGGAGTAACGTGAGAGTGAGGTTTTGGGGACGTGTAGAGAACCAGTTACACATTGTTTTATTAGAGGACTTTGCATGTTTTTGATTCTTTGTGTAAGTCCAGGCAAAGGACAAAATATTCAGTATTATCAAATAAAAAACACAAGTTTAAAAGAGTATGCTCTTTTTGTTTGTGGGGTTTTATTCTACTTTTTGTTCTTATAATTTCTGTGGAAATGTACAGATATCACATTTTGCACCAAAAAAAAGTAACATAATACCAGAGTTTGGTAAGACTTGATTGTGCCATAAATATTTGGGCTTTCAGTTCAGAAGAGAAACAATTACATAAAAAAAAAAGACTCAAGAAAAATCTTAAATGTAATCCTTTGGTTTTGGGAACAAATGGGATTAGGTTTTCTGATGAAAAGGTAAAATAATGAAATATAAAACCAAATTGGTGGTTGGAACCCCAATTTAGCCTTTAGCTGTGTTCGTATCCGGCGCTTTTGTCCTCCAAAGGCCAGATTCGTCTACCAATTACGTCGGTGTGGCATCGTGGCCTCTTCGGAATCGAAGACTCCTTCTTATAAAGGCAACAAATGCAGCCTTCTTTTTGCCCGTCTTGAAGGACAGGTCCGGTGTGTCCTCCGTAGCTTTGGGTATCCCATGATTCACTGTGAGTTCAAACAAGCTGGCTGCTCCGTGCTCAGAGGAATAAGGGAAATGGTGACAAATATTGGTGAATATTGTAAGTGCAGATTAATATAGTACACGAACACAGCCTTTGTGGACACGGTTACTGTGGTTACTCTTAGCCAATCACTGGCAACCCCTGCTTCCCCATCTTGCTCCACCCATGATTAAGAAACAAGTATAACTGCAGCAACTTAATCTCAATATCAATGCTGAATTTCCACCAACTACCACATTTGCTATCTCTCCTTTTTTACTATCTTAGTACATTTACAGAAAATAAAAACTGAATTATCTTCTTAGCATCTGATTGTTTTTTCTACACCTTGATTAGAAAGGTACACTCAGTTCAAGGTAAAGGCAGTAAAAGACATCAAGCCTATAAACCCTCCTCCAGAAATAAATTTTACTGGGCTTATTTCTAATGGAATTTTATTATTATGTGACAGAAACCGAACAACTGTCAGGCTAAACAAATTGCCCAATCCCCTTTGTAATAATCTGATTTCTTTTTCTTTTTTTTTTGTGAAAATGGGTAAAAGATTCAAATGGACATCTGTCACTTCACCCTTGCAGAAACAATAGGAACTGTAGAAGGGGGGGGGAAATTATTGATTTAGTTAGAGGGCTTAAAATCTGTGTAGAAAAGTTCATATTGTGTAACGTAAATCCCTTTATTTTCCTACAATGAGGAAATTCACTCTGCATTTAACCCATCCCCTTGGGGAGCAGAGGGCTGCCATTGTGTGGCACCCGGGTGGCAGTGTGGGCTTAAGGGATTTTGCCCAGCAACCCAGGGTGGAGGCTGTGGGAATTGAACCAGGTACTTGCAACCTTTTCAGAACACAAAGTGCACTGCTCTATCCCACCAGGCCAACACTTCCACAATATATTAAAGTAATAATCAAAATTAAAACAGAAAGCTATTTTCTGTTTTTATTCGTGAATGCCTTTTTAAAAGGTTGTTAAAAAGAAAAACTGTAAAATGTCCCTATAATGTAAGCTCTACATATTTTTTTCTGATATGCTTTGACAGTTAGTCTTTAACTGGCTGCTTATGATTTCCCACCGAGGGACGTAGCTCAAGCAGAACCTTAATCTGTCCTGCAGGAAGTCGAGCAGATTTGGCAATCGGCTCGGCATGGAAACTATTTAAGCAATGTACTTCCACATCACATCAGGCGATTGCCATCTGTGTTCGTTCTGTCCTTGATCATTTCAAATAAGACTGTAATAATCACCCTGAGTCAGAGGGAATTTTAGGTCATCTTAATGTCTGGAAGGGGATTTATTTTAATGTGAAGATTTTACTTTGTAGTTGAATGTCCCCCTTTTTTTAAATGAAAGTCGAAATTTGACTATTGGGAAATATTAAGCGGAAAATGGGAAGTAAGCTGATGTTGTAAGTTGTGCTCTGCAATCCTGGTTTGCCAACACACAGAGTCTAGACATTTGGTTTAAAACTAGGGTATCAACTCAAATGAGACTTTAACCTTTATGATCAATTATCACTTTCAGTTCAATTCAGTTTTCAGGACACATTCCTCCTAGATGAGCACGCGGGGAGAGTAGATATTTGTATTTTGCTGACGCTTTTACATCAATCCCTCACACAGAGCATGCATGCGGGGACAGTGGAGAGGAAAAATACTCACTTCTAACAGGAACCTCCAACAGAACCGGGCTAAGTGTGAGTGGCATTCTGCTAAAGCTGACTGGGGTTCAAGGAGACAGAAACAGACATACAAAATGAACATAGAAGCACCCATCTATGAATAGATTCTATGTTAGAATAGGTATTGATAAACTAGTTCCACATTTGGCTCCTTCTAAAAAAGAAGCAGGCAAGCAGACGAGCTCTGAGCCAGTTTTCCTGTCAAAGGTATGAAAGAGGGCACATATTTAGTTGAAGTAAAAGCTTTTTTTGGGAATTTTAATCCTAAATGTGCATACCATGAGTAGCAGCAGGCCAGCTGTAACAGACATTGAGTTTTATCTCATGGGACAAACATTGTTATACTGTTGGTCATTTTCGGTTTGAAGAAATTAGTATGATAATACTTCAGGTTTGATAACCAAACAAGATTACAGATCAGCCTTTTTGAAAAACTGGTACATCCTATGGTAAGTGTAAGGTCAGATTGGAGACTAAAGCCATGATGACCTTACATAGAAAAATGTAAATATCTTCCTGGATACTAATTCCATTCATGTATTCAACCACTGTTATACCAAAAGGTCCATTGATATAAAATCTATTTTCAAGGAAGACCTGGTGGTGTACAGTAGTTAAAACTTAATGAATCAAGTGGATGTGCAATTTAAAGAAGGATTACCAAACACATACAATGCAATACAAGCTATTAAAAACTCAATTACAATATTAAAGTCACACAGTACTAAATATTAAATATTTGCTTAATAATTTACTAATAAACTAGTATGCAACAAGATTATTTCAATCAGTAACATCCTTAAATCAGAAATATATAATAGGGCTGTTTAATTTCTGGGTTATGAGGCCACCTAGTGACCATAAAGCAACATACCGGTTTTCTTACAGCTCAAAGAAAGTGAAATGTATTGATCTAATTAAAAGAAAAAGTTGGTGAATCATCATATAAGTAATATTAACTTTAAAAAGGTAAACATGTTTTTTGCTGTTTTTTTTGCATGTATTTATTTTGCTCAAAATGGCCATTAAAAATGTAAATAAACCTAAACAAAAGCTGCACGTTATTAAAATAGTTTATGCATGACATGCAGATATCATTCGGTATTTTAAATTCCCTTGCAAAATGTACATTTTCAGATTTTGTCCCATTATAACTGTGATATTTAAGGTACCGGTATTTTATTTGGATTTTTCTATAACTTTATGGATAATTGTTGATTAAATGCAAAATCATAAATCCAATATTTAGTCATATACCCCAAAATAAACTCAATAATGAATTTCACAGGTCAGACATTGGTTAATAGAGCCGATTTTTGAGTAGTTTGATATTTATATAAATCCAGCTGTTGTTTAAAACTGTTTTGTTGGGTAAAAATAAAGAAAGATGAGCTTCATCACATCAAGGAAGTTTAAGGGAATTTGGTAATTGTTGGGTTTCACTGCAAAGTATTTGCACATTTTAAAATGCTTTGAAACTTTTTTTTAATTAATGTTCCACCATTCAACTGTAGTAATATAGTAAAAAACAAAACATCAATAGTTTTGTGATACATCAAGGTTACAAATAAAATGTATTGTTATTGGTGATACTAACCCAGTATCGTCCACCTCTATGTCTACCTTTTCTCCTACTCACATGTGAATCTGTCAACCTTTTTGTTGAGGGTACAAATTAAGCTGACTGTGATCGCCTATTTTTAAGGTAATTCCATCTCTTGAGAAAGTACTGTTTTCTCTCTAGTTTTTGGCTACTAACATTGGGAACGCACCTTTATGCTAATTACTGCTCTCTTTAAGAGATAAAAATTGGTTTAGTGAAGTCATCATTGAATAACTTAAATTGAC